TCCAGCTCCATCCATGTGAACATGAAGGACGTAAAGTCTCCATCCTTCTTAATGGCTGCATAGTATTCCATGGTGTACATATACCACTGTTTGTTGATCCATTCATGGATCGATGGGCACTTGGGCTTCTTCCATGACCTGGCAATTATGAATTGGGCTGCAATAAACAATCTGATACAAATGTCTTTGTTAAGTCACAGTGACTTTCATTCTGTCCTTTCAGTGCTCACTGTTTGGCCTCATAGAGGTTATTCCACTTAAGCTCTTTCCTCCATGAACCTTGTGGGCACTCAGTAGATAATGCTGAAGTAGACTGTTCTTGGTTATTTACCAAACAAATGTCTCAATTGCCTGTTGAAATTTAGCAATTCACCTTGTAGAGCCGACTCTCAGCTCTGTTTGTCTTTCTATTACTCTACATACGGTAGATATGTCTATGTGTATATGGTATATACACTTGTGCACTTAATATTTTCAAAGCTTTAAAATGTCACTCTGTTTTCAAATTTCTTATTTAATATTCACAACAAATTGGAGATAAATTGCACATTTGTCATTAAGGCCATGTTAAAGTGAAGTAACTGAGACTCAGATAAGTTATCTCATGTGCCTAGTAAGGGGCACAAATAGGACAAAAACACAGGTCTCATTACACCACTGCATTTTTTAAAAATATACGCATATTACCTTATGAGAGAGTTCTTCATATTACAAATACAAATTTTAGTAATGTCAACCTGGAGCCTACCCACATACTATTAGAAACTTTGTTATGCAACACAGCAAGTCTCAAATCATGTGGCACTTCTGACATTCTTTTCATGACAGTGGATATAACATTTGAGTCACTGTGTCATTTGTAGTCACTGAGGTACTTTAATGTGCTCTTGTGATCACTGAAGTATATAATCAAGCTTCTGCCATATATGGACCAATGCATCTTGAGTAAGAAATACAGGCTGTTTTGATTTTGCCTAATTTTACCATAACATAGACATAGCTTTTATAGAAAGAATATTCTAGAGTACGATGCCTGTTACAATATTCTCCATCATTTTTGTTCTATCAGATATGTGTCCTAGTCAAAGAGAAGCAGTATTTCTCATCAAGCAAGGACATGTCAACACATACGCAAAATACATGGAAAATGATTCCAACCAATCCTTATCATGTGTCATGTTTACCATATTGTTAAAAATAATTTTGCTACCCCAAGGAATGAATGTCATCCAAAATGTCATTAAGTATAACATGATCTTTTTTTTAGAGACAGTCTCACTCTGTTGCCCTCGGTAGAGTGCTGTGGCATCACAGCTCACAGTAACCTCCAACTCCTGGGCTTAAGTGTTTCTCTTACCTCAGCCTCCCGAGTAGCTGGGACTATAGGTGCCCGCCACAAGGCCTGCCTATTTTTTGTTTGCAGTTTGGCCAGGCCAGGTTTGAACTCTCCACCCTCTGTATATGATCTTTTCTTTTCCTTTTTTTTTTTTTTTTAATAAATTTTTCTTTTTTTTTTTGGCCGGGCCAGGTTTGAACCTGCCACCTCCAGTATATGGGGCCAGCACCCTATTCCTTTGAGCCACAGGAGCCACCCACAACATGATCTTTTTAATGTGCAGAATCATTAGGACCAATATTACATGTAGGAACATTTCTGACATGGCTTATTACTGTGTTACCAATTTAAATGATATTTAGTTTGGAATAGTTATGTATGGCTACTAAGGACTAATGTCAAATACTATTTCTTTATGTAAACATTTTTCTATATTATAAATAACATATATCTGTGCACTATACACTTTGGGACACAATAGTGTATGTGTATATATATATTTGCTATAAATTTATCTTACATATTTACAATTTGATTTAATATCAACTACGACTAAAAATAATAGGATATGCTTGGCTATTGGCATAGAGACAATTATTTGGTTGGAAAACACATTACTTTTAGAAAGTTTCCGTTAGATGTAGTATTTAATATTTAGCAAACCTAAGAAATTGTTAATAATGCTTTAAATTTAAAGAAGAATACAAGTTAATATTTCTGTTCACCCTTCAATAATTGACATCTATGTGTATTCAGATAATATTTTTTTCAATTTTTGTATTTAAGTGTACTTATTTTAAGATGAAAATAAGATCTTAGTATTTAAATATTTGTATTTATTTGATTGTTCTTGTTAAATGATGCACTGAAAAATATGCTAATTTGTACATTTCTTCCCATAACCAGATGATTCTTGTAAATTGTCTTGTGAAAATGGAGGAAAATGCATTTTAAATGAAAAGGGTGATTTGAGGTGTCACTGTTGGCCTAGTTATTCTGGAGAAAGATGTGAGGTCAACCACTGTTCCAACTACTGTCAAAATGGAGGAACATGCATACCCTCAGTTCTAGGTAAATATTAGAGCATCATTGTGTTTTCAAATCACTTTCATTTTCCCTTATATGTGAAAAATGTGATAAAAAATGCTTGATATTATATGTTTCTGTTATCTTAATAAAGAATGCACTAAGACAAATGAAATTTAACAATTAATTCAACATGATTGATAGCATTTGTTCTAAATTCTGTACATCAAAGTTCAAACCACAGAATTTTCCAAGAGTAATGGTTGTCACCATGTGTATTATTCACAGGCTCAGTGCTAATAGATATTCTGACCCTGGCATGGAACGAGTAGGAGCATCAGTTTTCCAAACCTTATATGCTTGATTTCAAAGCATGCATATTTTTCCTAATGCCTAAAAATCAATTCTTATTGAAAATTAAGTTCATTTGAAATGTAAACCATACCAGAGTATCTTATACCATGCTAATTCCCATCCATGATTATAACTACACTGTTGGTATTGCATTGTGGTATATAATATACTTCAAAATACTTGGTTGATGCATTTTAGAATATACTTGAAATTGTTATTAATTTATGCAATAGTTATGTTTTCAAAAAATGTTCTCTACAGCACCTAAGTGAACATTGAAACATTTTCTTAGCAACTTATATTACATTTAAAAAATGTTCCCAGGAGAAAAAAAAGTAACCTCAATGCATAATAAAAGTCTACTTTGTAAATTCCAAAGTTCAGTGCAAGGGACATTATGCAACTAGTAAAGTGCAATCTATGCACATTTAATTTTACTACCATAAATGCAAATTTAGTCAGTCAAATGGAAAATCAATCTATACGATCTTCATATCTCCTACATGGTTAATTTCTATCTTACTTACTGGAGCTCTCACTGCTTCTTACACTATTCTTTGAAGTATTTCACATAATGCTAACTTAAAAAGTCACATGAAGAGGAACTTTCAATGGCATTCAGAGAACCCAAGCTGTTTCTGATTTGCATTCTAATGTTAAAAGTTTGATAGTTTTACATCTATAATTATTTTTGCTATGATTCATTGATAATTAAAGTATTCTCATAAATGTATACGTTTATGATTTTAATTAAAAATTAATGTAAAGAAGAGAAAGGAACATCTGAAAGATTAGTGCTTTTGAGATGACAAGAATCAAAAGACATGAAACTTGACCTTGATGGAATGAGGGCCATCTCCATTGTTGTAACAGGAGGAAGGAGGTGTGTATCCTGGGGATTTACAAACAGATAAAATGACTCAAGAATGGAAAAAAAAAAAAAAAGGCATTCTAACTACTTACAAGCAACCTGAAAAAAATACTCAGGAGGTTTATTGAAATATGAAAGGCACTAGGAGTCTTACCATATATTTTTATTTTGCTTAAAGGAAGCTAGTCTATGCAGTTATGTATATTCTATTACTACAGGAAGAGTTTGATACTTGGTCCTTTATTGAATATGTAAATGAGAATCAATGTTTACAAAATGTGTGTGTAATTATATTTTAATATCACAGATAGCCTTTTCTTTAAGGAAGATTTTCTCGTGCCAGAAATTTTATTATTTTGTCAGTACCTTAATTTTCTTATTAAGGTTATTTATATTTAGAAATATTTAGGACAACTAAACCTTATGAAATATCAAGCTGTGGCAATCTGTTGAAACTGTAGTGGAACCAAAAGGGTAAATCTTTATAAAATTTACTGTCCTCTTAATGTATTCTTGAATTACAAATAGATACCGCATAATTTTTAAAATTTTGTTCAGATCATTTGTCTAGACCTTGCTGCATTCTTAAAAAAATTTGTATTTCAACTTTATCTGTGCATGCAAATTGTTAAATCTTGCTTTGTATAAATAATACATTCAGGAAAAATTATATTTTAAGTTAGTACTACAAATGAGCTCTCATACATATTCAACCTGAGATATAGCTGTGTCGTTTATTGTTTTATAGCATCTAATAATTAATAATATGATATTCAATTAAGTCATTTACAAAGCATTTTTCACTTTTAAAATGTGGTTTTATAAAAAGATTGTTTGGTACTATAGATTGTGAAACCTCATTATCTCCACACAAATGTTAATTTGTTAAACAAATCCCAGTGGGCAATTCATGGATTTATTCATTGTTGGTTTACTTACAGTTAAGCCTTTTGGCAAATTCCTATGTGGACACTATATAACTAGGGTTTGTGGTAGCCTTAATTAAAATTTATAAGTTTATGACAGTTGTATAGAACAATAATAATTGAACAAAGGAAATGTCACCAGTTAATTAAAAGTACACATCTGTGAGGCATAATTAAAATTTTGTATGTAGGAATGAGTTTCCTCATTCTTAAGTGGTTTTTTTTTGTAATAATTAACACTAAAAATACATGAGCTATATTCATATGTAAGAATACTACAAAATGAAATAGTTTGACATTGATTATATCAACAATGATCTATGTAGTTCATTTTTATGACCTATTTATAGGATATATTTAAGATAAAATTTGCTTTAGGCAAAATAATGGAAATCAGAGTAAAGTCAGTATTAATCAGTTATTTTATTTTTTAAAATAGGAGAAAATTTATGAAATTAGTAAAAGTTTTTACACATCATGAATAGCTTTAAGACATGTACTCAATTAGCATACCTATATTTGCAATTAATCTTTACTTTTACGAATATTTACTTTGTAATATATCTTCATGATGATTGGCCTTTTCCTTACTCTTATAGGTCAGTTATATAGATTTGTAAAATTTATATCAAAATAAATCAGAGTCTCGTACACAATGGATTTAGTGGAATAGACCAAGAGGGTTTGTAAATTTGGAATGATATTCTCAAATGTTTTCTTCTACTCCTAAAGTTTGGAGTTATGCAGAAGGGAAGCTTATCTTACTTTGAAAAGTTTAAAAATATGCAAAAGTGTAATTGGCTATCTTAAGAGATGAGAGTGAAATTTTGTATAGTAAGCATACATTTGTATTAAAAATTTTATTTTATTTTATTTTAATTAATTAATTTTTTTTTTTTTTTTTTTTTGCAGTTTTTGGCTGGGGCTGGGTTTTGGGTAGTGCCTGTGGCTCAGTGAGTAGGGCACTGGCCCCATATACCAAGGATGGTGGATTCAAACCTGGCCCTGGCCAAACTGCAACAACAAATGGGGCCACCTCCAGCATATAGGGCCAGTGCCCTACTCCTTTGAGAAAATTTTAAGTTAATACAATGGGAAGAAAGTAAAGACTCTCTTTGTAGCTCTTTCTGCCACGAAGTCCAATGTCTGTGGATTTTGCCAGTGAAGATTTGTTTCCCAGTAAGGAAGCAGGAGGATGAAAGAAACCCCTGCTGAGCAAAGAAACAAACAAACAACAACCCCCCTCCCCCCCAAAAAATCAACACATTGGACTCTTCTCTCTGCAATGGGAGAAGCCTTTTTAATGCGAGGCTAATAGATGGACAGAATGTTTTTCTCATTGGAGAGTTTTCTGTCCTGTTAACTGACCCAAATCAGAGGGTAGAATTGCTTAAAAGCAAGTTAACCCTGGAAATTTTAATACGTTTGGATCATCAAGAAACTGATTATTAAATATATGTACTGAAGAGTTTCAAATCACATATGTACTTAGGATGTAAAGTACACGATTAACCTAATTAATATCTTGATAACGTGAGAAGATACATTAAAACTGCTCATCTTTCCTAGTCTTTCACTTTTTGTTTAAATGAGGGCTTTTTAAAATTTAAATTAACCTTTATGTTCTACTCACTTATAGATACTGATTATATTTAGGAAGTGCTAGAAGCTGAATATTTGACTCAACTTGCTTTTTAGAATTAGAATAATGTTAATCATTGAAAACACAAAATAGACCATATGATTTAACAAATATGTAAAAAAGGAATATTTAACTTAAACAAATCAAGCAGAAAAAGTACATAAAGTGTGATGAGAAAATGGTAAAAAACAATTCTTACTGGGTGGTGCCTGTGGCTCAAAGGGGTAGGGCGCTGGCCCCATATGCCAGAGGTGGCGGGTTCAAACCCAGCCCTGACCAAAAAAAAAAAAACAATTCTTACACTCATATGGGGAGCAGAAAGTAGATTTTTTTTAATGATATTTATTTAGTTAGTTAGTTTTTAGAGACAGAGTCTCACTTTATTGCCCTCGGTAGGGTGCTGCGGCATCACAGCTCACAGCAAACTCCAACTCCTGGGTTTAAGTGATTCTCTTGCCTCAGCTCCCAAGTAGCTGGGACTACAGGCACCTGCCACAAAGCCCAGCTACTTTTTTTGTTGTTGCAGTTTGGCCAGGGCCAGGTTTGAACCCACCATCCTTGGTATATGGGGCCGGTGCCCTACTCACTGAGCCACAGGCACTACCCAAACAATATTTTTAAAACATCAGACATGAATGAGACCAACATTCTCAAATAACTATCAGAAAAAAGTGTTAATGGTTTATATGTTGAAGTAAATAATTTTGAAATACTCGGCAAGAGTTTAAAATAGTCAATCTCATTTTACTAAATAATGGTACTTTGAAAAACAGATCCTAAAGATTATGTAATAATAAATAAATACAAAATTCAGAAATGAGATTATCCAATAATTGTTACATATAATGTGTATTATAAACTTAGAAATAAAGAACCTGAATTCAAATAGTGAATACATAAACTAGTGACTATCTAAACTATTAATGTTATGTGATAAACATAACCACCATGATAGAATATTTAATAATATAGAAAATATTCACATTACATTTTAAAAATACAAAGAACAAGATATAGACCTACTGCATTACATAAGCCCAATAGGGGAAAAATGGATACAAAAATGTCTCTATAAAGAAGTAGGAAAAAAAAAAAAGTAGATCCTTCTTTATACCTCCATATTTTCCAAATGTCCTATAATTAACATGTATTGATGTTATCAAAAATTAAAATAAGAATAATAAAAATTATTATTGTCAGGATCATGATAGTTAATATATACTGGCTGCTTACTAAGTGCCAGACATTATTC